TTTGAAATTTATAAGTCGTGCAATGTGCTTCTGTTGACAATAAATTGGTTTTAAATTACTTTTGTAAGCGCTTCCCCACAAAATTTTGGCATAATTAATGTGACAATCTACACCTTTTCAAGATGTAAATGAGAACATGAAAGTTGTAATTAAGAAGTCGTAATATGTAATTAAGAAACACAACATGTAATTGAGAAAACGTTATATGTAATTGAGAAACACATCATGTAAATAAGAAGTCGTAACATGTAATTAAGAAACACAACATGTAATTGAGAAAACGTAAGATATAATTGAGAAATCATAATATGTAATTGAGAAATCGTAACTTGTAATTGAGAACACATAAATTAAAATAGCAAATTCACAGTCTAAGTTTGTAGGTTGTTACAAAAGGTCTTTTTGGACATGAATTTAAGTTATAATCTTAAATTTTGCTTTTGTATGCACAAGTATTAATAATGGAATTGAAAGATCGTTGTGTTATATGCCAATACACTATGACCCGAAAGTCTGTGATTAAGCTAAATCCGTGTCAACATTTATGTCACTAAATTTGTTTACGTCCAGTTCTGGAACAACCAGATTCAAGTTGTCCGATTTGTCGGCATGAAATACACACAACTGAACAAGTTGAAAGGAAACGTTACGTTTTATCTTCTCCAAATGACAGGAGAAGAGTTGTTGAATGCGCGGAGCGATTTGAAGATTGGGTGAATCTCGCGCAAACGCTAGGTATCAAATATAAGACAGCATACAATTGGGTTCGCAGCGGAAATTCAAATTTCATCGGAAAAGGAGGTTTTAAACCGAAAAAGTTGACCGAAAATCAAATTGAAGAAACATTAACATGGATTGAAAATGATTGTCAATTAACATTGGTGGCCATCAAAACAAAGATATTAAGACAATTTAACATAAACGTTAGCACAACAACAATAGCAAATTACCTCGAAGGCAGATTATTCTCATTAAAAAAAGTGCACAAGGAGCCTTCTACAATGAACAGTTATGAAAACAAACAAAAAAGAGCTGAATATGTTAGAAACATCAACGAACATATCACAAATGGTCGTCAGATAGTTTGGTTGGATGAAACAAATTTTAACCTTTTTTGTAGAAAAACGCAAGGACGCGCGAGACAAGGGAAAAGAGCAATTATGAAAGTACCTGCTTCAGAAGGTTTAAACATACACTTGATCGCAGCTATTTCAACTACAAATGTCGTCATGATAGAAACTCGCAGGGGATCATTTAAAGCAGATTCCTGTAACGAGTGGATGTTGGCTATGTTTCACCAGTGGGTTACATCCGGGAATCGTTTGGAGGATTTGGTCGTCGTAACAGATAATGCTCCTTGTCACGCTCGTTTGCAAAGGGTGTTTGATAATTCACCAGCTCAGTTGTTACGTTTGGGACCTTACAGTCCAATGTTGAACCCGGTGGAAACGATCTGGTCCAAAATTAAAAGTAACGTTAAAAATGCAATTCGCATTCCACCTGTATTAGGTGACGGGATTGCGGAACAGCGCATGCAGTACTTAGAACGAATTGTAATTGAGGCGAAAAATACTATAATGGGAGGAGATTGTGCACGTGCGGTACAACACACAACCACGCACTATGCAACTATTTTAAATATGGAAGACGTACAAGTTGGTGCTTAAATGATCAATGAAGTGATTTTTAATTATATAAACTATAATTTTTAATTGAGTTATAAATTTTTCCCTAAAATGTTTTTAGTGTTTATTATGTTAAATTCATTTGCCCAAAAATTATAAATTTTTCCCTAAATTTTTCCCTAAAAAATTAAATTTACGCTACAAATCTTGCGTCATTTTTAAGTGCGTCATTTTATACGCTCCATTTTTTTACGCGCCATTTTACACTTACTCCTTTAATGCGATATCTAAATTAAAATTTTCGTGTTCTCAATTACATCTTTCTATTTCTTAATTACAACTTACATTTTCTCAATTACATGTTACGATTCTTAATTACAATTTTCGTTTTCTAAATTACATCTTATGTTTCTTAATTACAACTTACGTTTTCTCAATTACATCTTACGTTTCTTAATTACAACTTTTGTTTTCTCAATTACATCTTACGATTCTTAATTACAATTTTTGTTTTCTCAATTACATCTTGAAAAGGTGTATAGTTTTTATTGAAAAGTTTAGAAGCTAATAATGGTTTTGATACTTTGCAACTGGAATTAAAGTAGTTACTAGTAACACAAAATAAAAAATCTTTTACAAATGAAGTGATTGCTAGATGTAACACTCTTGACTTTTTCCAGGTCAAGATAAAAAAAAAGAGCAAAAAGCAAAGTTTAAAAAAAAAATTTTAAAACTTCGATAGAGAAGAATATTCCTAAATACCTGAAATAAGTAACTGAACCAAAGCCCTGAACTAAGTAACTAGGGAAAACATATCGTCTTAATTTTAGAATTTAATTCATCAAGAGCCGTATAATTTTTGCTGGTCTTAATTTAATTAGTAAGTTTTTCATAAAAATTATTTTACCACTAATTTCGTTTACTGGGTAGTTAAGAGAAAATTTAAATACGAATAAATACTTACTTTGAATTGATTAAGAGAATTCGAAGAAAAAGTTTTGTTTTGAATTAAGCTGAAACACAGTTTTAAGGTGATTATTCAACAGTGTTCAACAGCTTCTGTGTTCAGTGTTCTTCAGTGTTCTTCGGTGTTCTTCGGTGTTCTTCAGTAAAAACTGAATAATAAGATTTAAATTGAATTTAATGAAATTTTGAAATACGATTTATTTTTAAAAAGAGTGAGTTTAACAAGGTTGGTGATTTAGCAAGACCGCCGATGAAATAAGACCGGTGCCATTTTTTTAATCAAGATTGGTGTCATTTTTTTATCAAGTTTTTATTAATATTTTTAGCGCCAGTCATAAATGTTTTTATGAATTATAGAAATAAATACAAGAAGATGATGTAATATGAGGTAAGATATAATATTTATACATTTAGAATATTAATTTTTTAAATAAAGTTTTTGCGTTTGTCAAAACGATCCACCTTTATGAGAACCGTCTTAGTTTACTAAACAATTTTTTTACTTTAGTTGCATAATTTTGGTAGTAATGTATAAAAAAATATATTTCTATCAAACAACTTGCGTGGTCACTGCAGGTTACATTTTCATTTTGTCTAAAAACACATAAACATCTAGAAACTTCAATGATTGTTCTTTTTTTATTATCAATAAAAACTTTGTTCTCACTAAAAAAAGTCATGAAGTTTTTAGGGTGGAATGCAAGAAGCAAACTTGAGTCAAATTCAACTTGAACTTTACTTTGTAACCAATAGCGGCAGAGTATTTTTTGAGGGGAAAACCCTTACTCTGTCGCTATTGGTTGCAATGTAAAGTTCAAGTCGAGCTTGACTCAAGTTCGCTTCTTGCTTTTCACCCTAAAGGAATATCCGGTTTTTTATGAAGACAATAGACCTTTTCATAAAGCATTCCGTGAAAACGAGGCAGTGTTTGTAACAATCAAAACAAATAAACGGTTTTTTAAAATGGCGATATCGTCTGGGTTGACTAATCGTTAAATACAGGAATGGCTCCCTAATTTGATTGGTCAAAATATTTGCTCCGATCTAAAGAATATATTCATAATATTTCATATACATGTTTCATATATAACATATACAAGTCACGATATCCGGCAAACGAGAAAAAGTGTTTTTCGGACTTCGTGAAACAAAATTTTTTCATCCAATCAAAATTGGGAGCCATTCCTGTATTTAACGGCTCCTCAAAACATATTATTACACAATTAATGTGTGAATAAAACACACTGTATTTTATGAATTTAAGAAAATAAAAATTAATTAATAAAATTAAATTAATAAAAATAAATAACATTTTTATTTACACATTGAATGTATAACAAAAAATAATATAATTTTATGTTTTACTCTCTGTACATGTTTTACTTAACACTCTCAGTATATGTTTTACTTAAGAATAATATAAAAAATAAATTAACAAAGTTAGTAAACTATAATACTATAGACAAATTAAAAACAATAGCGGTAAATAAGATTTATGTAAATAAAACCTACAATCGAAGACTTACAGGAATGGCTCCCTAATTTGATTGGTCAAAATATTTGCTCCGATCTAAAGAATATATTCATAATATTTCATATACATGTTTCATATATAACATATACAAGTCACGATATCCGGCAAACGAGAAAAAGTGTTTTTCGGACTTCGTGAAACAAAATTTTTTCATCCAATCAAAATTGGGAGCCATTCCTGTATTTAACGGCTCCTCTGGGTTGCAATGTGCTTCTTATGAATGTTTTTCATATAGCTATGATTTTGTAGATGGTATTAGAGTTACAACAAATATGAGTTTTTTCACATTTCCAGCTGAAACTGGAGAAAGGAATATTTGGTGTAATTTAATAAAAAGACAAGAAAATAAAGATAATTTTAAAATAACAAAATCTACTCGATTATGTCAAAAGCATTTCTTACAAGAAATGATTTATAGAACTCCAGGTGGTACACGGATAAGACTTAAAAAAGGTGCAAGGCCAATATTGCACTCGTGGAATAACTTTTCAGTGTCTGATATATCCAGAAAACCACCATGTTTAAGACAATGTTTAAAAAAAGTATGCAGGCCTCAACATGAAAATGTTGATGACGACTCTTCTACATCAACACCATTGTTACCAAAACTAAATGAAGTAGATTCCTCTTCAACAACATCATTTTTAATGCCAATAAATAAAGCAGATTCCTTTTCATCAACATCATTGTCAGCGCCACTTGAGGAAGTAGACTTTACGATAGATATTGCTGAAGGTAAATTAGTTGAGGATGAAAGAAATGATTTAAAAAAGCGCATAATTGAATTGGAAAAAGAGAACCAAATATTAAATGTTAATTTAGAAAGATTTAATGAATTTTAAGGTGTACGTTTCATTTGCTTCACAGATCACATTATGGAAAATAATGAAAATTGTAATCATTATACTGGATTTCCGTCAATTAACATTTTAAAAGCTGTTTTAGAATTTTTAGATCCTGGGGAAAATGGAAGAAACATAATTTTATACAACAACAAAAAAAAAACAACAAGTTCATCCACCGGACGACCAAGAGCATTAAACCCACTTGATGCATTTATTTTAACATTGACTCGTTTACGCAGGAATTTCGATCTTCACCATTTATCTTTTTTATACTATATTTCAGAAGGAACAGTTTCAAATACTCTAAATACATGGATAAATTTTATGTATATAAGACTCGGATCAATCTGCATATGGCCTAGTATGGAGCAAGTTAGGAAGACCATGCCGCAATCAATAAAGGAAAAGTTCCCAACTGTAAAATGCATTATTGATTGTGTAGAGTTTAAAGTTGAAACACCATCTGAATTATTTATGCACAAAGTTATGTATTCAGATTATAAAAGTCACACAACAGTTAAAGTTTTGGTAGGAATCGCACCTGGGGGAGGATTCACATTCATTTCAAATGCCTACCCAGGGAGTATTTCTGACAAAGAAATTGTTATTAAAAGTGGATTTTTAAGTCAAGCATTATGGAATCCAGGTGAAAGTGTAATGAGTGACCGTGGCTTTACAATAGCAGAATACCTCAGACCACTTGAAGTTAATCTTGTTTTACCATCATTTTTAAAGGGTAGAGAACAATTTACTATTGAGGAAACAGTTTTAAGTCAACAAATTGCAAATGAAAGAATCCATGTGGAGAGAATGATACAGAGGTTAAAGTGTTACCATATATTTGATTATGTTATCCCAATGAATATGATGGGTTCTTTAAATCAAATTATTTCAGTAGCTGCTTTATTGTCAAATTTCCAAGATCCAATTATAAAGATTTAAATTGAACAGGTAAGGTAATTTAAAAACAATTAAAAAAACTTTAAAGTCATAAATCAAAATTCATTAATATATATTAAAAATAACTTACTTTTTTAATAAAACTTATGAACACTAAAAGTGTTCCGAAATTTTTTAAATCTTTTTGAACATATAACTTTTTAACGTTTATATCAACTTTATTATTACATAACAAATATTACTTTATACTACCTGTGTCTTTAGAGCCATTTTGTGAAGAATTCAGAAAAAGGAGTGAAAGACAAAAATTTAGAAAAATACAAAAAAATACAAAACTACAAAAATACAAAAAAATAAAAAATTTAAAAAATAAAAAATAAATCTTATTAATCAAGAAATAACTGCTGATGTTGAAATAGTTTGAAATACATTTTCTGATTTAGTAGAACAATTGATTTTCATCTAATATTACTTTAATAATTACTTTTTCGTTTAATGACAATACTAGTTCATTTTTTTTTATATTTAAGTTTATCTTATATTTAGTAAAAATTAAAAATAAAAACATAAAAAAACTATTAAAAAAAATTACATAATTGTCTATCAAGAAAAGGAAAGAATCCAGAAACGGAGGGCTAACCTAAAGCAACAGTACTAATACTTTACATTAATGGCCTATCAAGAAAAGGAAAGAATCCAGAAATGGAGGGCTAACCTTAGGCAACAATACTAATACTTTACATTAACTGCCTATCAAGAAAAGGTAAAAATCCAGAAATGGAGGGATAACCTTAGACAACATGACAATTTACAGATGGAGTGCAAAGTCCTATGGCTTACCTTCTCGTTGGTGCACTTCGTTAATTGAATTAGACAAGTAATAAATATCTAATTTATGAACAGAATAGCCAAGGCAACATTTTTATTAGTTTTATTTTAGATGGATAAGTAGTAAGTTATAATAAAATAATACCTTTAAATTTAGTTGCTTGATTCATGAAATCTTTATTCGCCACTGCATATCTGCAGTTTTTCGTTAAACTGTACTTTTAGTTTATGATTTAAAAGATAAACATCTGACTGATGTTACACTATTGAAATCATTTCTAAAAGTGTAGTTTAGCTTTTATTTTCTTGACTCATAGCATCACTACAAAAAAATGTGACAAGTTAATTTTGAACTTTTAAAATTTCAATGTTAAAGTAATTAAAATGAATAAATGTTTTTAATATTTATTATCCTTATTTTATAAATACCAAGCAACATTGGTTAACTCCATTCATAACTAAAACCTAAACGCATTTAAAACTTATACATACAGAATCTTAAATAAATATTATATATGCAAATTAACTGAATTGCAAACATGCCTTATGATCTAGCAATCTGAACAGTCATATTTTGAAGCATTTTGATAAGGCTGGTCAGATGTTTATCTTTTAAAAAAGTGGCGTGAAAATTTAATTTTTATAGTAAAAAATATTGTTTAAAGTGGAACTAGAATCCGGTAATAGAGCCCTAATTTATTAAAAAAGAGACTTGGTGTAAAACAGAAGAGATTATTGAAAGTATACAGCTGTATACAAGGAGGACCAGGGGAGTGGTGGTGGTGTGGGGGGGAGGTAATAGTTTAATTGTTACTTTTAAATAGTTTTTTGTTACTTTTAAATAGTTAATTGTTAAATAGTTTACTTTAAAATGATAAGAATAAATTAAAAATAAGACTTATTTTGAAATATTGTTTTACTCAATTATTATGTCAATTTCTTCCAAAAATAGAGCATTTTCTATGTTATCTTTTGAATGGTCCACAAGGTTTTTTAGAAGGTGAATGAAATAGAAATCAAGAATTTTTTTTTCTAGCTTGTCCCATTTTTCTTTATTGAATTGCACACGATCAATAACCATTCCTTTGTTGGTATAAAATATGAAGTCACACCATGTTTGAGTTGTTAAAGCTAGCTGCATTTGTATTTGGTCATAATAACTATGGTCCTCATTTATTGTGATCAATTCAGTTAATTCATTGTATTTAATACATGCATTTTTAGACATAAAACAAATGTCTTTGGGGTCAACATTTTTATATTCTTCACTACATTTTACTTCTATGATTCCGAAAAGCCCATCAACTTGAACTTTTCCATCTGGAGTTGCTCCAAGAATAAAATTATTTTTGTCAATTACTAGTCCGCATGGTTCAATAGTCACAACATGATTCTCAGACAAAAGATATTTTTCATAATTGGAAATCGCTATTGGTTCGTAAAACTTACCATGATTCATTTTCCTTTGGACAATATTGTTTTTAATATTTTTATCTTTTTGAAATACAATATTGTATGCTAGTGTTTTAAGTCTCTTTTCACTCTTTACATTTTTTATTTTATTGCACAATGATGCTGTAAAGCGGTTATTTCTTTTTTCAAACCAAAGTGAACAACGAGCTTGATCACGTGTCAATCTTTCAATTTGAATAATGTCATCACTACTAATTTTTAGTAATTCAATTAGTTTTAATGCCTTTAAATCTGTGACTTTTTGTATATACTTGTCAAGATTACAATCAGTGTTGTTAAATGGGTAACTTGGATATTTATAACTATTAAATATAGACATATTTGTTATCTCTCTTAGGTTTGAATATACTTTAAAGTTTGGTTGTATTATTGGTGCATGAATGGCAAGTACAGATCCTTCTGGCATCATACCAAATTTAGTTTCAATGTTATTTTGGTAATTCTGATTAACTATTCCAAAAAAATGTAAATTAGGGTTAATAATTGAGATTTTGTTTATTAAGTTAGAAATTTTTTCCTTATTTTCTTCTATTGATGATTCATATGCATAATGCAAAGTAGATACAATCCCTTTATTTTCAGTAGTTGTATTTTTTTTATCTTGCTTCAGTTTTTTGCTTGGTGGAAAATTTAATTTGCAGCTCATTTATTGTTTGTTTTTCTATTCTTCCTCTACTTTGTGGTACAGACCAGACACATGGTAAAATGTGCAAGCTTTTTCTTCTGGTACCTTATCGATTTGCTCTACCACCCATTTTGCTAAAAGCTTCATGAGTGCATAGGAATGGGAGCATGTACCTAACTTTCCAGCTGGACATTGACAGAAACTAATATAATATCTGCAGTTAACTTGTTTAAAATTGTTATAGACCATCTATCTATTTTTTTTAAGCTGCCAGCACAAATGCCTTTTACACCAAATAAATTATCACTTTGCTTAGTATATACAGAACTTAAATCAATAAATTTTTCTTTAATAAGCTGTTCACCTCTTTGAAATTTTTTTTTTTAAATTTTTGCTTTTGAAATTATTTTGAAGTTAATATCTTCAGTGTATTTTAGAATATTTTTTATTGTAAAAATTGGTATATCTTTAAGACTTTTGCTCCAACCGTCTGATTGATTTAAATTAAGTAGGTCTAGTTGAAATAGTTCAGGACAACTGATATCACAAGCGCTTACATCATTAAATGGTTTGATTCTTAATTTTAATTTTTCTGCTTTTTGTAAAAGCCATTTCTTTTCAGGTGTAGGATCGACAATTATTTCTGATGTACCCAAATTAATATAGCCTAAAAAATTTATATATTTTAAATATGCTTATATTGATTATTATGTTAAAGCAAATTTCAAACTGATATGAAATGAATATATATATATATATATATATATATATATATATATATATATATATATATATATATATATATATATATATATATATATATATATATATATATATGTATATATATATATATATATATATATATATATATATATATATATATATATATATATATATATATATATATATATATATATATATGTAAGCATTATTTATTCAAGAATCAATAAATAGAACTTAAAAGAGAACTATTTTAAAAGATAAAAATAAAATTGTTCAGAATTTTTAATTCAGCAATGTGAATTTTTTTTAAATATATATATAACAGAATAAAAAGAACAGATATAACAGTAAAAGTAAAAATTTATCTATTAAAGCCATACCCTGATTGTTTTTTCAAAAAGTCATACCAATTGTGCATCTTTGAGAGTATTAATACTTTGCAATGTATCTCCACGATATAATAGCCATTGTTTTAAATGTCCAATTTTGTAAGTGGATAAGTCTTTAAGTTGAACATGGACTGCTGGATCATCAACATCGTCTGGTGTTATCGTAACTTCCTCCAAGTCTAGTAAAGAAGTAAAAATTATATGGCCATATTAAGATTAGTTAAAACTAAAATATAAAATTGATATATATATATATATATACATAAATATAATTATATATATATTGACTATATATATATCAATTTTAAAATATAAAATTGATATATATATATAGTCTGTTGAAATGGTGGGGCGGCGGTACCCGCCCCCCCCCCCACTATTTCAACAAACTTTAGTGGAAAATTGGCGTTTTTTTTGCGATATTTGTCATAAAAAAAAGAAAAAAGAAAGAAAAAAAAGGTCATCAAATTTTAATTTAGGCAGCGACCAAATACAGTTGACACTGTCGAAAACGGTCTAGAATAGCCCCTGTATATATATATATATATATATATATATATATATATATATATATATATATATATATATATATATATATATATATATATATATATGTATTAATTGTATATTTATATAAATCATTTATATAAATATACAATTAATAAATAAACAACTAATAAATATTTATATATGTATATATATATATATATATATATATATATATATATATATATATATATATATATATATATATATATATATATATATATATATATATATACATTTATTATTGTATATTTGTATAAATCATTTATATAAACAAACAATTTATACATACATAAATATATATATATATATATATATATATATATATATATATATATATATATATATATATATATAATATATATATATATATATATATATATATATATATATATATATATATATATATATATATATATATATATTTATGTATGTATAAATTGTTTGTTTATATAAAT